CATTCTAGAGCCCAGAGGTACATCTATTAACTGAGTTCTGGACATGTTTACAAAAAAAAAAAAAAGAACACTTTCATTTGGGTGACTCTTATTGGGTTGTTGGAAAAGTCATATGTCATTTTTACATAGAAAAATATGTCATGACTTTCCCAACAACCTAATAGAAGAGAAATTTGAATAAATTCATACAATTATAAATTGATTATAGATTTTATTGCTATTTTTTCTTTGGGAAAGGTGACTTGGATATGAACTTATATTGCGCTTGATTGTAGATTTTATTAAATAGATGCACTAGACTAGACTTTGGAAAGTTTCCCTCTAGTTTTGTAGTCTTATGTTGAAATTATTATTGGGCTGACCTCATAGTGCAGCAATTAAGTGCTATGCATGGAAAGCCAGCATGTGGTCCCATATGTTCATTTGTGGTTGAAATCCCAGCCCCAGTGTCTTGGAAAACACATCAGGCACATGTGTCTGTGCCCCACATTCTAAGAGGATGGAGAAATGGAGAAGGAATTGCAGCATGACCAGCCCCATTGAGGGGGTTCTTTCTCTCTTTGGTGGGTGCACATGTCCTCTGGCAATAATAACAAATAATAATTCATTTTCCATCTACCAGTATCAGAAGAAATCTTCTGGTTACAAATGACAGAAGATCCAACCCAAACTATGTTAGCAAAGCCAGTTTCAAAAGAGTCTGATTTGAAAATTCCAAAGCTGAGCTTCACTCTAGAAATTTATGATAGAGGGACTTCAGATCCATTTCCTTGCCCTCGTTTCACTCTGCCCTCCTCCATGTGTCAGTTTCACCCCCTGGACTAGCTCTGCTCATGGTGACAGCCTTGCTCAGACCACCACACTTAGGGGAGAAGAGTTAGTGTCCCAGCACTTTTTACAGGAGCCCTGAGGTTCACTCCCAGTGCCTACTTGCATCTATGTGCCCACTCAGAACACTCCCTTCTGCTAGGAGAAGAGGATGTGCTAGCTGTCTTAGGCCTGAGTTATGTGCTCATTCCTGAACAATCACTATTGCTTGGGATTGGGCTATGTTAAGGCTCACACTTAGAGCACGGGGTGGTGTTAATCCCTTGCAAACCACATGGCTGAGAATAGGTTGATTTCAAAAAGTGAAGTTAGAATATCATTAGTACAAGGAAGTTAATGAAATATTTGTTAGCTACCTGGTTACACAACAGAACACTAATCAACATCATTAATAGAAATGGCAACTAACATTTATTGAATACATGAACCAGGCATCATTCAAACCACTTTACCAGTGTATTGGTTAGAGAGTATGTTTGGCTACATGTAATAAGGTAACTGAAATAGCAGGGGCCTAACACAGAGTGCTTGGTTTTTATCTCATAAGTTAAAAAGTCAGGAAATAAGTAGCTTTACATCATCATTCACATTTCAGCCTTGTCCATCAATATTTCTGCATCATCATTCTCAGTGTAAGACTTTCTTCCTAATGTTCATAAGATGGCTGCTCCTCCTCCAAACTTTGCCTCCTGATTCCAGGCAAAATGGGAAAAGAGCAAAGAGGAACAGGCTCGTACCAGCCGAGATTTCTTTTCACCCTTTTATCAGAAAAAAAATAGCTTTTCTGGAAGCCTCAACTTATAGTTTCCTGCTAACATCTCATTGGCCTAAACTATGTCACATGACCTCCCTGAACTACAATCCTAGCCAGTCAAGATTTGTTGGCTGAGCACACTGCCACCTATAACAAAATTAGGGTTTTACAGCTAAGGAAGAAAGAGAGGACTGAGGTTGGTTAGGCAAGCATCAATGACTAACAATATATATTAAGTCATTTATTACTTACATCAATCCAGTGTGGTTGATACTGCTACGGTCTTGGTTTTATAGATGAGGAAACAGGCAGAAAGAGGTTATGTAATTTGCCCAAGATCAGACACAGCTGTGAAGTAGTGGAACTGGAATATGAACCCAAGCAAGCTGACTCTAGAACCTAATTTTATTATGTTCTCAGATACATCCTGACCACAAGCCAGACTACATTTCTTCTCTAGAATGTGTATACACTTGGGAAATTCAACCTCTCCTAGAAATGATAGCTAATATTTGTTTAACACGTTATGAAGAGATTTCCACTTATATTATCCCCTTTAAATATTATTATCCTCATTTTAAAAATAAGAAAACTGAGCCTTAGCGGAGTTATGTAAATAGCCTAAGGTCTACAGATTTTAAGTGGCAGAGCTGACATCTCCTTGGAATGATAAGAACTTACTCTGGTTCCCTTCCTTAATCTTCCTACCCTTCCATCCACAGAGGATTCCATTTTTAGCTTTTTAAAATGACAATATTTTGCTCTATATGAACTTCTTGACCTTCTGAGGAAAAACAATTCAGAGAAATCTTGACTCTCTGAACAACTTGTGTTCATAGCATTCTTTTCATATAGTCACACCAGTAAGAACATGGCATGCCAGCAGTGATTGTGTTCAGGAGGAAGTAACAGAGACCTAAAAGGGGAGGTGATTTTTATCTTACATAATATAAAATCCAGAGCTTCATTAAGAAAATGAAAGTGTTAGTTATAAATAATTCTCTTTTTTTTTAGAGTTTTCTTTTTTTTGCCTTAGGGCACATGCACTTGCCAGAGAGAGAGAGAGAGAGAGAGAGAGATGAAGATGGTGAGTGGGAAAGTGAGAAATTACCCCCAAGGGAGGATGGCCATGTCACAATTCTTTCTCTTTCACTCTCCTCCTGGAATCTTGGGCACGCATGCACATGCGCCTGGTGTGAGTTTCAGGCTCCTGGGTTTAGGACTCAAACCATGGTCAGCCATGTGGGAGTCCAGCAATGTAACCTCTATGTCATCTGCTGACCCCTCAAATAGCTCTAACTGACCATTTAAAGCAAAAGAGTCATTGAACATATAGATATTTCTTGTTGTTAGTTTTATCAACTTAATTTACATTGCTTTTCCTTAAAACTGCTTTGTAAATTGAACTTTTCACTGAGTAAAAATGCCATTCAACCTCACTGGGGTAACTTAGTCAAGTTTTTTTATATTATTGATACTTCAGTTTGCTTATAATTGCTGTTTTTCTTATTCTGTCCAAATTTTGAAATCTTTAGTTTATTGCATTGCTTTATTTATATATCACAATATTCTTTTGTCTTGGTGATACTACTGAATAGGTCATAAAAATCACAAGAACATTATAGAATATAGTTTGACTTCAAAACCCAGG